GCTTGCGAGTACCAGGACGGCGCAAAGCGCTTCGTTAAAAAAAACACCCGAAACATCCTCTTTTCGGGCCTGATTTTTCGACTCGCTTGGGGTAGCCTGGCATGCGAGGGTGGGTGCCCGCCTGCCCTTGACACCGGGTGTCGTGCCCGTACGCCTTCTGAAATTCAGAAAAAAAATCTATTTTACCCGCCGGCTGCCCAGCACTGCTGCTGTGCAAGACCCACGCCAGCAGCAAACCAGGGAGAAAACGCACATACCTGAACTAGGTGGGAAAAGTACCAGCTGCTTCATGGGTTTTTTTCCCCCCTTGATGTCATCAATCCCTAAAAAGGTGGCACTCCCTGCAATGTCCGAGTAAATGCCAGTCTTGTGCTGGCAAAGCACGGGTCTACTTAAGCCGGAACTGTGGCGTGTCTGAACAGCGCCTGAAGCTGGTAACGAAGACGACAGACCGATAGTCAGGTACCAAGGCACTCGCCATACTCAACACCTTATCAGATATATTTACAGGCAGTATTATTTTTCCTGCACCACCAATTAATAGCAGCACTTCCACTGCTTATGCAAGCCTCCTGCCAGTCTGGCACTGGAAAACATGACTGTGGTCATTTATCAGGGTGTTCACGCTTATCCTGTAATACAAGGTTTAGATTACAGCAACTTCTCGCTAGCATGACATGTCACACCAACATGAAATCCAGTGCTTGGGCTGGCAGATTAAGGGATCTGGGAGTATAATGACACGAACCCAGGAAATTAGATGGTGTTATTGAAAAATACATTAAGAAGTGACGGATCTAAATGCAAGTGATCTTATACAATGCCACTCCAAGAAGTGCTTAATTTTCAGGGTATTAAGCTGGGCAATGAATGCAAGCCCTCTTTAAATTAGGCTGCTTTTTGGTATATTCTTCAGAACATTTAATAAGAAAATAATCATTAAGAACCCCTTGAAGGATATCGGAAAATTCACATAACCAATATATTGCCCAGGTGGTTATAATAGGAACAAGACAGTATGAAACCTGTAACTTTTTATTTAAAAAAAAATTAACAGCTTCAGAATAGATCAAATGTAGTAACTTCTCCAAAAAATACCAAAAGGTACAGTGTAAAGCATCTTCTCATTAAATACAAACTAGCATTTTTTTGATGCATTGCATCAATGTTTTGCATCTATGTTGATGCAAAAGAGTTTTTTTGTTGCATCCTGGCACATGGAAAATGTATACACTGAAACAGGATGACTGACACCACTTCATCTACTCAAATTCTAACAGTGGGACATTAAAAAAAAATTCCTACTAGCAATTAAGGAAAAAAATTAACACCATTACATTTAGTTTGCTTCTGCTAAGGTGTATTTTTTGAACATTAAAAATAAGGGTTTAAGTACTGTATAGCATCAAGGATGCACTCCGACTTTAAAACTGCTATATGAACAAAAGCCCTTCTACTGTCATACACTCTTCAACATTGAAGTTCCCAGTAAATGCTAGTTAAAATTTGGAATTTGAGATAAAAATACAAGGAAACCAACTCTGTAAGAAGTCAAATGTAAATTCTTCAAGAACAATAAAAGGAATTAAACCCACTTCAAACACCATAAACATCTCTGGATGCAGCAAGCCAATCATTCTTTTACCTGACTGTACCCAAATCTCATTGCTATAGAACAGTGTTAAGTTCATCAGTTCCTGGTCTGGAAGCAATTCTGAACAGGTGCTTCATTTTTAGGGATTATATAAATTCACATTGAGGATGCCCCAGCTGTTACCATCCTGCAGATTCTGATGCACAAAGCTAAGCCTAAAGTAAGTGACTACATGCTCCTGCTTAATGCCTTACACAGGCTGGCAAATCAGGGGCTTTCTTCCAGCAACATTCCCCAGTTTAATCCAATTTCAAGGTGTCTGACCACTTCTGATCAGCTTCACATCTTACCTCTCTTTGGTATATACAAAGAAGTGCCATTAGATTGCTTCCCTCCGGTTATTTGTAAGAGCCAGAGAAAACCCTCTGGGACAAGGTATGCAAGATGAGAATCCTGTGTCTGGGAGGGTAAGGAACTCTACCATACCACTGACTTTCTTGTGAACTGTTGTATTTATTCCTATGAAATTATTCAAAAATGTGAAGTTATTGCATTAAGTTTGTGAAAAAAACTTATAAAAAGAAATAGAAAGCAAAAGTTTAAGAAAAAATAGGAGACAGACATACTCCGTTTACAGAAGATGATGATGAACTTGAGCTATTTGTAATATAAGGTACTCTCATACTGCCTGTGCAGTATTCCTCCAATATGATCTGGACCACTTTTAAGGATAAGAGTAGAATAGTCTCCATCCTAATTATATATTTTGGGTCTCAGATAACAGCTTTATTTGCAAAAGTGAGGATGGAAAACATTTAGTTTTCAAGAAAGGAAAAAAATTGAACTTCAAAAGCACAAAGCAGTACAACCAATGCTCCCATGAAAAATGCTGCTACATCACTACCAAAGTATTCATGGACTGAGGCTCTGTGCCAAACTGCAGTCCAAAGGAAAGTTCATACGCAGTCCCTAAAAAACCCTAAAATGGGGCTTGTAATGAAACACTTACACAATCTACCATAACAGAGGGGTCAAAGAACAGATGCTGAACACTCCTCGACAAAAAAAATCCAACTTTTAAAATTTGTGTTTGTGTTTTGGTTGCAAGGTGAACTAAAAATCGGTGTTGTCATCAGCTGGGCAACAGAATCTTTTCCAACCAGGTGATGGTGCCACTCCAGCAGATCAGTTTACCTACTTTCCCCCCTCAGGGCATCATGTCTTTTACTGTTCAAAGTAAAAGTAATAAAGATAGATAGCTCTGCCACTATCTTAGCAAGAAGTCTGGAGAATTTCAGTGACGTATGCTGTATTCTTCTGCCCACTTTTATCTCAGTTTCTTAGGTAGGTGGGATCAGTGCTCAAGTCCATCTGTCAGGTTAGCCCACTGTTACAAAACGGCTTCCTTTGTTCTGAGACAGCGCTGTTCTTTGTTCCTTCAGGATCCCAAAACGTTCATTCAACGTCATTCCTGTCTAAAAAATAAAGTCATTTCACCACAAACATAAGAGATATCGGGTTAATCAAAGTAATGGAGACAAGAATAATTTTTCCCTCATTCTGTATCATCGCTTGACCACACTTACATTAAGAAACTAAAAAAAAAAAAAAAAAAAAAATTCAGATTGGACTATACATAAAGAGCTAGCATTTCTCAGAATTCATTAAGAACACATGGTACACAATGTCAAGACTGAAAGTCTACTCAAAATATCCTAAGTTAAACTGTGGACAGACTGAAAAAGGGAACTTTCACCACACTCATTTCCTTACAGATTATACACAACTTCAACAAATGCAGCACTTTAACTGTGTTAACGCAGGTTGCTTTCCAGTCCATCCAGTTGGGGCAGTAGACTGCAGTCCAAAACTTCAATTAATTTTACAATATAGTAGTAGACTATTTTTGACATACTGCTTATTCATAGAAGGAACAAATCCAGACTCATGCACTGATCCCATGTAGTTTTCTATAGCTGGCAGTAAGGAGTTGATTACAAGAACAGCACCTAACTGTCACCCTGTGAGAATTCCTTCAAAGACAGCACTAAGATTCCTGTACCACATTGCCTGTCTTCATGAAACTTGTGAAAAATTGCTCATTTTTCAAGCCTTTATGTCATCACATATTTTTTTTCCTAGATGCATAGCAAAAGTTGCTTTATAAATTTAGCTGTCGGAGTTCCATACAGGTTACACAACTGAAAGAAGCTCATCCCTGAATTATGCAGTTGCTGATTCAAGCACAGCAGGAACACCAGAAGGCTTTTACAAATATTCAACATTTTAAATCCCATTTAAAGCACGTGGGCATGCGAGACATGAACTAGAGGAACAGGAACAGTGAGTTTAGTTGCTTGCTTGAAGTTACATAGCAAGTTAGTCGAAGAACTGGAAGTGGAAACAAGTAGTAGTCACTAGTTCCCTCTTTCTGTCACTAGTGAATCTAGGAGGAAAGTGCCTGGCTCACTGACTTTTATCTGTCTTGAAACTACTTCCACAGTTAAGGAAAGAAACTTTATTTACCTGTTTTCCAACACTATTAATATCAAACTGCAATGGAACCCCTTTGGGAATCTTCTTCTCTTCAGACTGGTCTCTCTTCATCAGAAATGGTGGCACAGGAGTACGAGTTAATCGTAATTTCTGGGAACTGGGAAAGAAGAATGTTACAAAGGACACAGTGAATATGTGTTTTACACAATAAAGCCTTAATGCTGACAGAGGTATGAATTTTTCATCAAGCCATTTGATTCTGCTGTCTGAATAGCTGGAGGGCACAAATTCAAGAAGGTAGAAGTCAGAACTATAAAAGGGTAGCATTTGTTATTGTTACCAGACAGCAAGTGTCCCAACAGGAAGCGATCTTATCTTTTCTCTCTCAATACTACTGATAAAAGCATACTTTGCAGTTAATTATTCTCATAAGTATGAAAAAATAAAAATTGGTACAGTCTTCCTTACAGATAAAATGCTATAATGAAAAAAGCTGCTCAAGAGATTTTTAAAATAGAACATCTCATCAAACAACAGTATAATCAACTTCCCAAAGACAAATACAGCAATACTTTCTTTAAGCACAACTCTAGCAGTGTCTTTATGAATCAGGGAGGAACTATTGCCACTCATCAACTAGGTGCTCATTCATTTTCATTCAGATAGAGGAGGAAAACAGTCTGATTTGGTAGAAGCAGACAAGCTGAAAATCTACCAGCCCACTGCTCTTCAACTCTATACACATCAAGCTCCTAACTTGGAGATGTCTTGTGAAATCCAGCTGTGATATTATTCAAACAGCTCAGAAACACTCAGAAAGGGGCCAGATTTAAAAGTCTTCATAAGAAGCTGTGACCTTGAGGTCACCTGAAATACTATCTGCAGGGAACTTGCTAAATGGCTCAAACCAGCAATTTCAGCTATGTTAAGAACATTTCAGAAATTTTTTTGAAAACTCACATTGGGGTTATGATTGCTCCTGGGTTATCAATGGACACAGTCAGAATCCCTCCACTTGTGGTGGAAGTTCGCCATCTAATTTGAAAACACAGAAATCACTTACAAAAACGTTGCAGAAATTTCAGACAGGGTATCTTTAAATACATTTCCAAAACAGTCACTAGTGAAGAATGTACAAGCTTTCAGAATACAGGCCAGTACAAAGACCATGTGCAGTCAAACAATCTACAAGAAGCTTGGCTATTGATTCTTGTATCTTTTACGTTATCTAAACCCATTCAGGTGAGCGCTAGATCACATACAGGCAAGGTGTACCAGAACTACAGCTCTGACTGAAATGCTCACTTTTTAAAAACATTGTTTCCTTGCCACAGATGGGGCCAAAATGGGTCCTCACAGCAAATCTAAGAGGTGACAGCCTGCAGGTCTGTGGCATACGCTGCTTACTCAGCCTGTTGTGTTATCAACAGATTGAAAAAAAAAACCTAGCAGGCACAGAATGATATGAGAAGAATACATGGGGGGAGAGCCAAGTGTCCACCTTGTGACCTGCCTTGCTTATTTCCAAACTGCTTCATAGGCTTATAGGAATATTAAATAAAATGTAAATTACATCAAGAGTTCAGGAGAACATTGACATTTGAATTTTTCCTTCCAGTCTATGCAGTATTCATGAGTGGTAGAGATTAGTCTGATCCTCTGAAGCTACCACCTTCCCCCTCATTCCTGCAAGCGTCTTATGCAAACAAACTCTTCCTGGATAAACTAGAAGATAATTTACAAAATAACTGAGAATAGGGGGAGGATCAATGTCACTGAGTTGACATGCCTTTCAGTTATCAGAGCCAGGAAGCCAGGACTAAACCGAGAATCATATGATTAACTAAGCTGAAGTTTTCCAAATTAAATACTTACTGACGAGTTCTCTTTACTGTCTGATTATCAAGATCATCTGCTGACTGCACTTGGGCCTGTACCTGAAAACACATCAATAGACACTGGATTCGAATACTGTTTCAGTTACCATTGTAGCAGCTAGAAATACAGCAGTTCAAACCCAGAAGTTTAAAGCTCTTTGTACACTCTGCACAAGCAGGGTTGTACTTTCAGAGGGACTTCAAAGATAACTATCCGATTACCTTTGAAGGCATTGAAAGAAATTACTTCAACACCACCAAAGTCATTTAAACAAAGTTGTCAATGACAGTAACTTAACCAATAAAGGGATGGAAACATTTTGGAGGACTATGTCAGCAAACATACGCTTTACTAAGATACACAAAAATGTAGCCAGCAGGAAAAACCTGGCTAGTTCCTAATCTGATCTATGTTAACATACATAATATCCAATAAGCCACTAAGTCCCACTGCTGTTTTAAAGGAATTTGGTTTTGTTTTTCTTCCTCATGATCCTGTCTGTAATTCTGCAATCCATCTGGATGGAAGACAGCAACTACCTACAGTCACGACGATGGCAGATGTAGAATGAGGGCACAAACGAAAAACCGAGAACACCACTATCATTCACTGCACACTCTGTATTCTCTCAGTCTTACTCAAAACAATTAAAAAAAATCCTTAAGTAACTAAAATAATAATTAAAATAAATAACCCCTAAATAACTTAAAAAAAACACCCACAAAAAAACCCATGATCAGTTTCTAAAACATGTTTCTGCTCTATCCTTCACCCAAAGGCAATTTTTGAAAGCTGCCCAGTGCTTTCTAACATTTACTTTTAAAAGGAAAAATTAATAGCTTGTAACTACTCTCAAACACTCTGACAAGTTCCATGCCCCTCAGAACAGTCCAGCTAGGCTGGAACAGGAAGGAAGACTCAACAGGTTATAGTAACTGAAGAGGACAAGTACATTTCCCTAGAAGAACCCATGCCTATTTCCCAGTCCACATGAAGCTTCTACTCATCTGCTATCTGAAATTGATTCATTAATATTGGTATTCTAGGTTAGCTTAGAACCTGTGGCACAATATTGTTATTGTTTTCAGTAATTTTTATTACCTTCAGGCCCCTTCTAAACAGGAAAGTTGCTTGACGAGTGTCTTTCTGCTGATTTAGTTTGTTTCCAATTCTGGCAAAAGCAGATGGCATGTTATTCCTGTAATATTTATTAAAATATAGTTATCATAGGCTCCACAGATAACATCTTAGAGACACTACGATGAAAGTCAGGAAAGTACCCAACACATCCCTAAGGACGTCTGCAATGCTGCCTCTTTGAGGCTGAATGTTTCAGTTGCAATAAGCTTCTCATCTACTTGGAACAAAACACATTAGTCATAAATGGAAAAATCACTTCTGTTACACAGAAGCCTAGCACTCCTATATCACAAGACAGTATGGTTATCAATTCTGCTTTTTACTTGGCTCAGTACTCAGTATACTCCAGCACTTTAAACATTGCTGATTAGATGAAAAAAATGGAGCAGTCTTGATATGTATGAAGTTTGTTTATGGTTTCCACAATAGTCACATAGTGAAAATTTTCATCACGAAGACCAGTTAAGATGCAGTTCATAACAGACATGTTAATTCCAGCAGAAATAAAATGTGCAATAGCTTCCAGGAAACTGAAGATGGCACCAGCTTCCACAAATGCATTTTATTTAGAAAGTTCACTAAACCATGGCTGTTACTTCAAAGCTACCAAAATCCACATTGGCCATCTCCATATAGGCTGCCTATGATTTAAATGAAGATGGAATACCAGGTGCTCACAGAGGTACTTCCTGAGTGTTCTACATGGTTATAAATATCTGTCTTTGTATCGAGACCATGTTTGTCCCACGCTCAGCTTCCAGATTTGTTGAACTTCATACACATGACTGTATTACTGCAGACGCTATCCACCATCTTCTCCTGGACTCAGTCCTGTCAAACAAGACATTATGGAAAGTCGTCAGGAAAAGTTCAGAAAACAGATTTGGTCTTTTACCTTCTGTTTAGTGGGGCAGGCCTCCTGAGGGCTGGAGCTTGTTTTCTCTGCATTTCAGATTGTCTTTGCAGGTTTGTCTTCTTTTTCAAAACTGGGTAATTCCGCTGTGCATTCTTAAAAAACAATAAATATATATATACCATATATGTATACTGTATATACACACTTGTCCTTCAACTTCCTTCAATTTCCATTTACAAACTGCATATGGAATACATAGGGCTTTGCCTACCTTTCACAGTCTAGTATGATCTGAAAATACATTCTATACTATTCTATGTATGAATTCTATATTCCTCTCATCACCGGGGGGGGGGGGGGGGGTGGGGAAGCAGAGTTATCCAGTTCCTTTTTGATTACTGTATCTCCTTAAACTGACAAAATACATGCTCCACACATCTTTAACGTTATTATTCTTCATAAATCCAAAAGTAATCCCTGTTCTACTGAATGAGATGGAGCAGGCAACAATGCACTAGAAGAGTGCAGAAAAGGAAGCCTACTGAAGGAGTTAATTATTTTGCAAAAACTCCCATTTTTTTTTAACAAGCACATGGTTAACACCTGCATGTCAGCTGAATCATTGGTTTGTAACAAAGCAATGCAAAGACAAGAATCCTAATAAGTGAGTTTTTCTTGTTAACTACTTCCATACTTGCACAGAACATATTCCTGTACTTCAATTTTCATGACTTGCAACCCCATTAGATGTTAAACTTTCAAACCTAGTCATTAACCGCCTCCCTCAAAACAAACAAGAACTCAGCTAACACATCCCCAATTTAATACAAGATTGCACCAGATATCTCCATTTTATATTTCAGTAGCACTGTTCTGAAACCATTGTGTTTCATTTTTCTAATCTGTTTTTACATGAACCACTTGCGCTGCATTAATTACCTTCTCACTAAGTGGCTGTCTGTTCAGAGGACTAATTCCTTTGCGTGAACCCATTGATTTCTTGGCTGCCAAGCCAGTTATAACTCCATAAGAACGCTTCTTCCCTGCTATCTTCTTTCTGCGTCCCAAACGGTTTTTACCATAACCTGCAACAAGCATGAAGAGTTCAACAATTCTTATTGAAAGAAACAGCTTATTGCCTTAAGATGCTATGGAGGCAATGCAAGTTATTTGGCTGCACACTTCAAGCCTTAGAGCAGACGCTATCACTACACTTGAAGACAATTTGGTCACTCAGTTATTTTAGCAGGTCTGGCCCAAGCCCTAGCACAACAATAATCAGATTCTCATACAGATCACAGTTTTGCTCTAGTTCATTGCATTTGAAAATTTGTTATTTGACATGTCAACAGGGACAACTTAAGAGTCATTCTGGCATAGAAAGCTACCAAAATACTCTGAAATGGAACTTCACCAAGTGCTGAATAACACAAAACCAAATAAAACAAAACAAAGAAAAACCTGCTCCCCACCTATTCAGCAAACTTTAAATTACCAGGTTAATTTAAAGAAAAGAAAAGCAACTTCAAAGCTTATTTATTTAGATCAGTGGTTCCCAAGACATGACTTCAGGAAAAAAAAAAAAGCAATTGGCCCACAAAACCATATTAAACAGCACATGAATTACATCACATTTAAAGTGTTTTCAATTAGAAGTCTGCATGGCAGTCTGGATGAAACTGAGAATTGAAATCAGCCTTTGAATATAAAAGGCTTGTAAGTCTGAGGTCTGTAGTATAAACATCTGAAAATCTCCAGTTACAAGGGTTTGGTTAACCCTGTCTGGAGCCATTTAGCGTCACACTATGAATACAGACCATGCTTCAGTTTTATCCCCAAGTATCACCCTCTTTAGAACCTCAGACCACGAGATAAATTTAAGACTAAGGAGTCAGCTCTACAGCAACAGACATAACTAGCTTTGACATATCTGACTTCATAGCATCAATAATAATAAATCTGTGCTTCTTCACAAGACAGGAGCCATCACATAAGGTTAGCCACCGATCAGAACCCAGCTTAGATAAATTTGCCATGGAGAAACTGCTAAATACCCACATTTTGTGGATTGTTAGCAATGCTCTTCTTTTCAAATAGAAAAGCTGAGAAACAGGGTTTCTTAGGCTGAAAGGGACCTCATGAGCTCTCTGGACCAACCTCTGCTCACATAAAGGACAACCTCAAAGTTAGCTCAAGCTGCGCAGGGTTTTGTGCCGTTGCATTCTGTGTATCACCAAGGACAACTTTTATTTAAGTGAACAGTGTTCTTCTCTCTGTTTCTCCCCTCAAAATCTGAAAAGAGTCACAGCTCAAGTTCCTCACTTTTCAGAGAGTTTGGCAGCCACTTCTAAAACCACAAGGAATTGAATGCTGTTTATCATTTGTGGTTTATGTAGCTCTCCACAAACAACAGAGGATTTGCTACTTATCAGAATAACTTCAATGGCAATGGAGCAGCAATAACTCTATTGGTCATAAGCTACTAATAACTAGAATGCTCAGAAGAACGGTTTAATGATACCTCCTGCTCAAAAAACAATATAAAAGAGGTTTGCTTTCAGCGGAAGAAAGTGTGTGGAGCTGTATATGAGGGAGCAGTTAAAGCTATTCACAACGTTTCAACAAGCTATAAATCTGGCAGTTTTGCAAAAAAATTTTTGTTTTTTCCTAGAACAAGGGCAGGCAAGGAGGGAAGATTCCAAGACAGAAAAGTAACTGCAAAGACAGTTGTATTTAGTTTTGTATTTGCAGCTCAAGTTCCTCCTAAAATTCTAAATTCTAATACTTGTTTCTTTTTTGTCCTTTGGATCACAAACAATTGCATCTGACAATTGCAGTCATAAACAGAAGCCTACATGTTTGATAATCTACAACCTGAATTCACTTACTCTTTCAGCTACATAAATATTCTTACACTTGGGCTGACTGATGTAAAATATTTTCCTGCACTGTCACCAATTTAGTAAAGATGCACAAATAAAGCAACACTGCTACGTTGGCCTGTATAAAAAGCAAAATTCCTCTGAGCCCTGAGCAACAACGACATTCCACTGATCCCCAAAGACCTTTGTGTCTCAGATGCTAACTACGGGCTGCTGCTACAAAAAATATTAAGCAATGACAAAGATAAAATGGGGATCACTGAGTACACCAGGCAGATGTGTATGTTTTAAATGAATGCTACTGAACAAGAAATTGCATGTATTAACTTAAACTCTTCATTAGCTTGGCTTGGGGTGGTAAGCTTTCTGACTGGACAGTATTTTTCCATATTTTGATAATCCAGTGCTAAAAAGGTACTTTTCAAAACTAAGCACTAAGTAAAACCAGTTCTATACTTCAAGTAGGTGCTGGTCATGTGCTGGACTAAAACCTGAGAATGGTTTTAGAATATGACTCCTGTTTATGGGGGAAAAAAAAAAATCCCAACAGTTACTCTACAGGAAAGCTGTCATTGTGCACTTCGCTCCCTGCCTGCATGATTTTTCCCCCCACTTTTGTATTCCACTGCAAAAACGTTGGCTTAAGAAGGCTGACATGGTGCTTCCTTTGCATCCCAAGGTCTTAACAAAAAAAGCCGACTCAGACGCTCTGCACTATCCATTTATATATCCCAGAGGCAGCATTAAAGTCTGCAGCAACAGCTATTTTGGGGAGGCCTACTAGGAGAATTCTACCTAGCAAATATAAATACGCTGGCTCTTTTGCACAAAGCTCTGAGCTCTAGCAAGGCCTCCACATTTCCTAATATACAGGCTTTGGCATAAGCACTCTTTCTATCCATCCTGAGAAGGAACAAATTATCAACACAGTTTCCAAAATTAAAATAAATTAAAAAAAAAAGCAGAAAGCAAGCCAATCCTTGAGTCAAATAGAGTCCATCAAGCACCTAAGTTCCCTGTTGGCCAAACACATCAATGACTTTCTCACAGATCACAAAGAACTGAATTATAATCAAACCTCCATATAATACTATTTGAAAGACACCGGAATTGACCATGTCAATCCATACATTTTCATTAGGCTACATTTCAGCTCAAAAAAAAAAAAAAATACTGGACAATCCAAATTACGTTTGGCATACACACCTTTCTGCTGTTGGATTCCCCACTTGGAGCTTGGTGTCCTGAACTGTCGAGTTCGATTCTGCTGAAGCCCTCTTTTCATTTTGGGGGAATACTGTTTTCTCTCTTCTTTCTTGTTCAGTTTAATTATATCATCTGTAAGCAGAAAACAAAAAAGAAAGATTTGACACATTGCAGACATATTTTAGTTCTAAAGAAAAAACCCTAGCAGGTTAAGAGTCATGTGAAATAGACCAGTTAATCTTGCAAAGCCAGCACATACAAGCTAAGGTTCCAGAAATATCTCTATGAAATACCCAGTCCCTGTTAGTTTTACAGTACTTCCTTTAAAATATAATGCCCTAGTAAAAAAGCAGCAACTGTATACATCCAGAACATCCAAGAGTTGAAAGATAGTGCATTCCGTCCAGCATGAAATTTTTAAATTGAATGACTACATTAGTTTTTGTATACCGTTAAAGAGAAGGTAATCCCACCACCACCACCAGACTTTGCAGATTCCAGACAAAACGTCAATTTAAGCCTTAGTTCTTTCAGCTTAAGTTACTTAAGAAAAATCACACAGAAAGAACTCAGCCTCTCAGTTATCTTCATGTGTTCACTGAGGTTGAGATGATGCAAAAAAAAGCAAGTAAGACTTCTCTCCCTAGGTATCTGCAGGCCAAAGCAATCGCCTTATCTATTGCCCAGGGAAACAATGCTGAACAAATTATTAATCAGTTTAAGAGCATGCGTAATATGATAAACTGATGAAACAGTGAACAGCAGGTCTGTCAAGTGCAAATCATACCACACCACTTTGATTTCCTTCACTGATCTGGTAGCTGGCTCAGGAGATGAGAGTAAAGCAACAGATGTGGCATGCTTTAATTTCACTGTTAGCTTGTTTGCAAAAATACCATAAAGGAAAATGTCAAATTATGTTTATTGCATCTAGATCAGGAGAACGCAACTGATAAAAACATTATTTTTAATAGAGAGCTACCACAAACACTTGGACACCCTTTTTCAGGCGGGGAGAGATGGGAACAGGGTTACTGTGTTTAACAGAGTTCAAACAGACTGTGATGGGGTAAAACAGAGAAAGCAATGTAAAAAATCCCACCACAAACAAAAACAAACACAAAAACCCACAGTGTTGTTATCCAATGTTTTGTATCCCGGTGAAGTAAAGCTAAGAGAAAGTCAGCTTACTTTGCTGCAAAAAAGCCTCAATATTCAGGGGAAAAAAAATAAAATTTAAAAAAAATCTATCAGGGTAAGGAATACTGATACAGGTCACTCGGGGTTTGATTTCTACAGAATCTTCTTTACCATAATGATCATCCCTAGAACAAAGATTCACAAACTATCCTTTTTATATGACAAAGGAAACCAAAGCCACTTCAAAATGGTATACAGGTCCAAAATGGCAGAAACGACCACTACTAACAGCAGTACTCCATCGGGAGCAGTATCTGAACTTAGCACCACTAATAAAATGATGTTCAACAAAAACTAAAACTTCCAAAACTGCTAGAGCAGAAAGTGTAATTTTGCGTGATGGCTGCTCCCACTCCTATGCACCTGTGATAGAAACCCACCACATTCAGAGAGCGTGGATCCTTGCTTCACAGTTCATCTGCTCCATCTTAAATCCCATTTTGCAAGTTAACTGTTGCTGTACACAGGGTTAAAAGTTCTTAAATAAAAGAACACAAGTATCAGCTATTCTCTTACTTGGAGAAATTAAGGATATCTGGGACTTTACATATTTGTTAGCTGAGACACACTGAAGCATTCTGCTATCTTGCCTGAGATCAGAGATCAAAACTATAACTAGAACAGCAGAATAATCCGGCAACATTATCAAACTGGAAGCTTAGTTTCAGTTGAGTTGCACATAGCACAATAGCAACAAAAATAGGTTTAATCTTTATTACTACATGGGAAAATACTCAACATTAAGATCTAATTCTCAAAATTTCGGAGATTAATGCTTTGTCAATTTTTGTGATATCACAACAGATGTGGGATTGCATCTCATCTTTGTTTACAGCAGACCACAGAACTTTGACTTCGGGACAGTAGGCGTGGATGACACCGTTCTCAGGTAAATTACCCTTGTCACTAAACAAACTCAGGGACACACCCACTCACAAAAGCTTCTTAAACAAAATGTCACCATGATGCCACAACAGTCATTTGCAAGTTGCTATTAGTCAATGTCCAGGACATGTAGTGGTGGCTAACTGAAAGGTTGATTTGGTCAAATAAGAAACATTAGAATATATGAAAATAGAACTAGCCACTCAAAATCAATAACTCTATTAATCTCAGTAACCTTGGAAACAAAGATTCAGGGTGCTATATGGTAAGTAAAAATAGATTTATATGAAAGCTGTAATTCTACTCCACATTCAGACAAACTCTAAACATCATTTCACAAGTTATCTCCACTGCTCTAACACAGAACTCCATTGGATCATTTACAGAAGGAAAAATTGTACAAATCCTCTTATTTTAACGTGGTCCACAAAGGCTAAGTCTACCATTAACATTCTAGTTCACATTGCGATTTCACTTTTTGAAGCAAGTCTCTTCATAGTACCCATCTACCATGCTCTGGTAGCGTCATGGAGCAGTCTTGGCAGTGTAGAAAATTTTTTCTGGATAAAACTAAACCGGAAGGTGCACTCCTAGAACGCACCAAATGTGTTCCCGACTGTTAAGAGGATTCAGTGCATAGGACCAGAACAGAACTACGCTGAGATACCTCTTTGAAATATATATAGCATGGATGTCAGGTTCTCAGATACATTCAGAAGACACAGCTCTGCAGATCTGCAATGAGCCTGTGCAACTTCCTAACACACAGAACCAATGGGAGGACAGGGGAGAAAGGGGCAGATTATAACAGGAAACTACGTGGTAGAGACAACATCATGCTTGCTCTGGCTGGTAAAGTACTGCAGAGGAGTTACAAAAGAGACTCGTCATTACCCACTTCGAAACCTGGGAAGAAAAAAAGGCAAGGCCGGCTGAGCAGCAACCGAACCACCCCTGCCCCTGCAATCACGAGGCCCTGGACCCTCCCCCACGGCCACCCAGCAAAGGGCCCGGGCACCGCGGGCCTGACTGGTGCCACAGGCACGCAGCGCCCGGTCTACGGCCTGCTTCATACACCCAGACGGAACAAAAGGGGCCCAGCCCGCTGAACCCGGCTCCTCCCTGGCCAGGGACTGCAACCCCCC